CACAGAATTCAAAAGAACAATGATTGAATATTTCAATAGATCAAGGACAAACTCAAAAAATTACAGGACTCTGCAAGCAAAAAACAAGAGGAACTTGAAAAAAAAAATCCAAGACAATGCAGATAAAACAAATGCAGCATTAGAGGCTCTGGAAAAATAAGAAATCACAATCCAGAATATGAGGACCAATGTTTCAGATGCATCAACATGCTGGAGGGATACATAAACAAAACTGAAGAGATGGAACACAGAACCAGCGAGATAGAAAATAGAATTGTCACCACTTACCTGCTAGAACAAAAAGCAGAAACAAAAAGGAAGGAAGAATAAGAAAATCTAAGAATAAAGTGTGACACCATCAAGAGGATTAATTATATGTACATACTTGAAATCTCAGAATAGGAAGAAACAGGTAAAAGCACGGAGAAAGATGTGGAAGAATTACTAGAAGAAAACTTTCCAGGCATAATGAAGAATGAGAAAACATTTATTCAAGAAACTGAGAGAATACCATATGGAGCAGACCCCAAAAGAAAACACCTAGTTGTATCTTAGTCAAATTTACCAGAACCAAAGATAAGGAGAGAATTCTGAAAGCACATAAGAAGAAACAAAGAGTAACCTATAAGGGAGAGCAAACAAGAGTAAATGCTGATTTCTCAGAAGAAACCATATGAGCAAGAAGACAGTGGAATGATGTATATCAAACACTCAAAGAATACAACTGTCAACCAAGAATATTATATCCCACAAAAAGGTGTCCACCAAATATGAAGGAGAGATCAAGATATTCTCAGAAAAACAGAACTTAAGGGAGTTTGTAAAAACAAGACCCGTGTCGCAGGAAACACTAGCACATGTCCTTCTTACAGAGGAGCCACCGAAAGCAGGATGGACCAAAGTAACCAGCAATAACACCCAACACAACTTAAAAAAATTATAGTAATAAAACCTAACCTCTCAATAATTACACTGAATGTGAATGGCTTACATGCACCACTGAAGAGAAAAAGAGTAGCAGATTAGATTAAGAAAAAACCAAAGCAACAACTATCAATATGCTGTCTACAAGAGACACACCTGGTATACTGCACTTTTTTGGGGGGCGCTTTAGCCTGTATATATCTATGAGAGCAAGTTGGTTTATTGTGTGGTAATTCTTCAGCATCTTTGTTGAATTTCTTATCTGGTAGTTCTGTCTTTTCTTGAGCATGGTGTGCTGAAGTCTCGGTATTGTCTAATTATTTTTTCAGTTTTGTTTATGTTTGTTTTTTTATATGTTGCAGTTCTATCATATGGTGCACAGATATTTATTATTGTTTTGTCCTCTTGTTCTGTTAACTCTTTAAGCTTCCTTGTCCTTTGTGATGGTTTTTGCATTGAAATCTATTTTATCAGAGATTAATATCACTACTCCTGCTTTTTTCTGGTTACCATTTGCTTAGTATATTTTCCTCTACCCTTTTCTTTTTTAGTTTTTCTTTATCTTTACTTTGCAGGTGTGTCTGGTAACTCATTGCAACATGTCCAAAGTATGTCAGAAGCAGCTTCAGAATCCTTACCTCCAAAGAGCAGCCTGGCTTCACCCTCTCTAAAACGAACTTGTTTGTTCTCTTAGCAGTCCATGATATATTCAGTACTCTTCTCCAGCACCACAGCTCAAAGGCATCAATTCTCCTTCTGTCATCCCTAGTCATTGTCCAGCTTTCCGCTGCATAGCAAGTAATTGCAAAGACCATGGCCTGTACCAGGCGCACTTTAGTTTCCAGATTGACACGCTGCTCTTCAGTACTTTGGAGAGGTCTCTTATAGCAGACTTTCCCAATGCAATTTGTCTTTTAATTTCAGCAATAAGACAAAAGAAATAAGAAGTATCCAAACTGGCAAACAGGAGGTAAAATTATCGCTATGAAGATAATATGATAGTATATTTAGAAAACCCTAAAGACTCGGCTAGAAAAGTACTGGACATAGTCAAGCAATTCAGCAAAGTATCAGGATACAAGATCAACATTTAAAAATCAGTTGGACTTCTCTACAATGACAAAGAAAATACAGAACTGGAGCTAAGAAAAATAATACCCATCACAATAGCCAATCACAAGATTAAATTCTTGGGAGTAAATCAAAACACAAAAGATCTATTCAAAGAAAATTACAAAACATTACTACAAGAAACAAAGAGACCTGGAGAAATGGAAAAATAGACCTTGCTCTTGGATAGGAAAATTCAATATTGTGAAAATGACAATTCTACCAAAGGCAATCTGCAAGTTCAGTGCAATCTCAATATAAATACCAACCCCATTCTTCAACATGATGGAGAAGGCAATTTCCAATTTCATCTGGAATGGGAAGAGACCCCGAATAAGCACAGCACTCCTGAAAAAGAAAAACAAGGTAGGAGGCATCTCACTCCCTGATCTCAAAATCTACTACACTGTCATGGTGGCCAAGACAGAGTGGCACTGATACAGTGAGAGACACATAGATCAATGGAATAGAATTAAGAACCCAGAAATCAGTTCATCTACCTACAGTCAACTGAATTTTGACAAGGAGATAGAATCAGGTAAGTGGAGAAACAAAAGCCTCTTTAATAAATGGTACTGGCGAAATTGCAAAACTATTTGTAGAAAACTCAAGCAAGACCCACAGCTCACACCATACACAAAAACCAACTCAAAATGTACCAAGGATGTAGGAGTAAAGGCAAGGACATAAACTTCATCAGAGGAAAGCTAGGAAGAACTCTAAAAGCCATAATTCATAAGATGAACAGTCTCCCAAACATCCTGAAAAATCTACAACCATGAGAGAATAAAATAGATGCATGGGATCTTCTAAGAATCAAATCCCTATGCACATCCAAAATCTTTTCCAACAGGATAAAAAGAAAAGCCATAGCCTGGGAAAAAATAGTTGGTAATTGCCACAGTCTTTGCAATTACTTGCTATACATCAGAGAGGGAGACAATGACTAGGGATGACAGAAGGAGAATTGATGCCTTTGAGCTGTGGTGCTGGAGAATAATACTGAATGTACCATGGACTGCTAAGAGAACAAACACGTTCATCCTAGAGAGGAAGAAACTAGACTATTCCTTGGAGGCAAGGATTCTGAACCTTCATCTGGTGTACTCTGGACATGTTGCAATGAGGGACCAGTATTTGGAGAGTGACATCATGCTTGAAAGCACAAGAGAGGAAAACCCTCGATGAGATGGATTCAGTGACTGGGGTAATGGGGGTAAGTGTATCAGAGACATAAGATTGGCACAGGATAGAGCAGGGTTTAGGGCTGTACACAGAGTCACTATGAATCACAGGTGACTCAACAGCACATAGCAACAACAAATTACATGTCTAATAAGGGACTTATATCTAGAATTTATAGAATACTCCAGCACCTCAACAAGATAAACAACCTAATCACAAAATGAGCACACAATATATGAACAGACTCTTTAGATTGAAGACAAAGAAGACATTCAGATGTATTGTGATGAAAAAGTCTGCTATTAGGGACCTCTACAAAGTAGTGAAGAGCAATGGTGTCACTCTGGAGACTAAGGTGTGTCTGGTAAAGGCCATGGTCTTTGCAATAACTTGTTCTGCGTCAGAGAGCTAGACAATGACTAGGGAGGATAAAAGGAGAATTGATGCCTTTGAGCTGCGGTGCTAGAGAAGAGTACTGAATGTACCATGGACTGCTAAGAAAACAAACAGGTTCATCCTGGAGAGGATTAAACCAGGCTGCTCCTTGGAGGCAAGGATTCTAAAGCTTCATCTGACATACTTTAGATATGTTGCAAGGAGGGACCAGTCCTTGGAGAGGGACATCATGCTTGGGAGGAACAGCGCAGGAGGGGAAGACCCTCTATGAGGTGGATTGATTCAATGACTGGGGTAATCACGGTGGGTGTGTCAGAGACAGTGCAGACAGGGCAGAGCAGGGTTTAGGGCTGTTGTACATAGGGTCACTATGAGTCGCAAGCAACTTGACGGCACATGACAACAACAACATACCTGGAAAGTCACAGGACCTTAAGCATAATATCCATAAGTAATATAGCTATTCAGATAAAAGGAGCATTAGTGTCCACTAGGAAAAAATACTATTAGAAAGAGCTGAGTTCAACCTTTAAAGCTGAAGAGAAATTGGACAAGAAAAGAGAAGTAAAATAGGTTTGAGGGCAAAGGAAAAACACGAAATGGTGCAGAAATGGACGTGTATAGTTATTTTCAGGGATTGAGTAGTGGAGATTACGTACTTCCACAATCTGAAAGAACATGGAGCCTCTTTATAAGACCTTAAACAGCAAGCAGGGTATAGGGATCCTTGGAGCATCTTCATGAAAAAAACAACATACAAGTAGTCCTTTAGGAAAGTCAGACTGACGGCAGTAAATAGGCCAGCCAGTAGGGAAGAAAAACAAGGGCATTTTTCAATACATGAGCAAAAATCACCACTATGTAAAGGCATGGCCTGCCACAACTTAGTAGGATACTGACAACAGAAGGTAAATAAAGAGTCCAAATTGGCTTCAAAGGTGTTGTTGACCTACATACAGTCAACTAAGAATAATATTCATTTTTATTGAAAATAACAATAGCACTTAAGTGGTTCTTTCCTGTTGATCCAATGCTTTCAAATACAGCATGTCATAGAGACAGGGATATACTGAATGTGAAGGAGCAAATTCTATCCATCCAAACAGTGATAAGATATAAACATATGATAAGAGTTCAGGAGAAAGGCAAAACACAAAAACCTGGGTGTCATTTCGAGAGAAAGCAGAACTGGAGCAATGACTTACACATACCTGCATTTCTATAAGTGCTTAAAAGAAAAAAGTATTCTTTCAGGGCACTGTGGCTGAAAACTGTTCACATGCCTCTGAGAAAAGCTGTGTGTGGACAGACACCAGACATCACAGGACGCCTTCTTCATCACTAATGCGAGTCCATGTGTGAACACACACAAAGCAAAACCATACCTCCTCTTGACTCGGAACTTCTGAAAAGTCTTCGTCTTCGGATGCGGCTTGTTCTCCCTCTTCCCTTCTGCATACTAATACTACAGTTTCTGTTTGGACAAGAAGCATTTTTTTGTTTTAGTTTCCCCTTGTACAATGTAATCACCAATCTTTGTACTTATCAGGATTTAAATATACAAATGCCTATTATTCAGTAAACCATTTCCCTAAAGAGTTTCTCTGGATGAAAATTTTAGGTTGTAAGCTGTGCTGATGACTTACGCAGTAGTGGAATGTCCATTACAACGTACTTCTAAAACAGCTTTATCTTAAGATACTATTAAATGCTAATTAGTCATGGAAATCCTCATAAGGGATTATAGAAATATGCACATTGATGATTTACATATTTTAATTATAATTAACATTTACTAACATTAGCTTGTGATATCAATGACATTGTTCGATAATTTTGACACAAGATTCTGCTCAAGATCATCCAAAAATGACTGGAGCAGCACATCAACAGAGAACTGCCAGAAGTGCAGGCTGGATTTAGAAGAGGCCATGGTACTAGGGATATCATACCTAATGTTAGATGGATCTTGGCTGAAAGCAGAGAGTACCAGAGAAATGTCTATCTGTGTTTCACTGACTGCAAAGGCATTTATTTGACTGTGAGGATCACAACAAACTGTGGCTGACTCTGAAAAGAATGAGAATCCCAGAACACTTGATTGTGCTTATGTGAAACCTGTACTTGGACCAGGAAGCAGTCCTAAGAACAGAGCAAGGAAACACTGCATGGTTCAAAACTGGAAAGGGTGTGCATCAAGGATGTGTCTTATCTCCATACCTTTTTAATCTAGATACAGAACAGATTATCTGGGAGGCTGGGCTCTATGAGGAGAAGTGTGACATCAGGGCTGGAGGAAGACTCATCTACAATCTGCAGTATGCAGATGACACAACCCTGCTTGCTGAAACTGAGGAGGGACCTAAAAGCACTTGCTGCAGAAGGTCAAGGACTGCAACCTTCAATATGGATTGAGGCTCAACATCAAGAAAACAAAGATTCTCACCACTGGATCAACTGACAACATCATAATAGATGGTGAAGAAATTGAGATTGTTGACAGCTTCGGTTTGCTTGGCTCTACAATCAACACTCTTGGTACCAGCAACCAAGAAATTAAAAGACACATTGCATTGGGAAAGTCTGTTAGAGACCTCTCCTAGGGACTGAGGAGCAATGATGTCAGTCTGGAAACTAAGGTGCGCCAAATACAGGCCATGCTCTCTGCCATTAGTTGTTATGCATCAGAAAGCTAGACAATGACTAGGGATGATAGAAGGAGAGTTGATGCCTTTGAGCTATAGTGCTAGAGAAGAGTATTGAATATACCATGGACTTCTAGGAGAACAAGTTCGTCCTGGAGAGGATGAAGCCAGGCCACTCATTAGAGGCAAGGATTCTGAAGCTCCGTCTGACATACTTTGGAAATGTTGCAAGGAGGAACCAGTCCTTGGAGAGGGACATCATGCTTGGGAGGATGGAAGAACAGCACAGGAGAGGAAGACCCTCGATGAGATGGATTGATTCTGTCACTGGGGAAAAGGGGATAGGTGTGTCAGAGACAATAATGTTGGCAAGAGATAGAGCAGGGTTTAGGGCTGTTGTACATAAGGTCTCTATGAGTCGCAAGCTACTTGATGGCACATAAAAACAACAATAGTAGCTTATCTAGATATAATATGCTATTAAAGAGCAGCAAATAAGTCACTATAAGCTAGGAAGTTTTGTTGTTGTTAATAGGTACCATCATGTTGACTACAACTCATAGCAACCTTATGAACTACAGATCTGAACCATGTCGTATGCTGTGCCATCCTCACCATCTCTGATACGCTTGAGCCGAGTGTTAGTCATTGTGTCAGTCCATCTTATTAGAGGCCTTCCTCTCTTTCTATGCTATCTTTCCTTACATGATGGTTTCTTCCAAGGACTGGCCTCACCTAACAAGATGTCCAAAATATGTGAGACAAAGTTTCACCATTTTTTATTCCAAGGAGCAACAAGGATACAACTCTTCTAAAACAAGATTTGTTTTGCTCTTTTGCCAATTTAAGGAATATTCACTACTCTTCATTAGAAAACAATTCAAAAGCATCGATTCTTCTGGCATCCTTATTCAATGTCCAACTTCCTGAAGCAAAGGAGCAATTGAAAATATCATGGCTTAAATTAGGTGCAAAATTCCTGTTCTATATAAAGTAACAACCATGATACCAGGATCATGAAGTGATATAACAAAATGGATACGTGCAACAAATTAAGGAGAAGAGAGTCAAAAATAGAGACAAGCCAAAGATTGCTATTGTTGTTGTTGTTGTTGTTAGGTGCCATGAGTCAAAGTTGACTCACAGGAACCCTCTGATCATCAGACCTGAACCTTGTACTATTCTGTGCCATCTTCTTCATCTCTGCAGTCACCATGTCAATTCACTTCATTGAGAAGCTTCTTCTCTTTCACCAATCTTCCATCTTTCCTCTCTTTCACCAATCCTCCACCTTTCCAAGCATGATATCCCTTTCCAAGGAACGACCTCTCGCTGTAATATGACCAAAATATGTGAGCTGAAGCCTTGCCATCCTTGCCTCCCAGGAGCACTGTGGCTATACTTTTTCCAAGGCTTATCTGTATGGTATGGGTCACTTTGAATCAGAAAATCATATGGCCTGCTATGCTGGGAAGGAAAGGGGAAAATGGTGTTGCCTTCATAATTAAAAGGACAATTTCAAGGTTTATTCTAAAGTACAGTATTTTGACAGTATACTATCCATACATATACAAGGAAGACCTATTAATAAGACTATGCACTAACAACTAAAGTCAAAGAGGAGGAAATTGAGGATTTCTACCAACTTTTGCTGTTCAAAATGGATGAAACATGCAATCAAATGCATTAATAATTATTAGTAATTGGAATGCTAAACTTGGAAATAATGAAAAAGGAATAATAGTCGGGAAGTATGGACTTTGTGACAGAAATCAGACTGAAGAGCAAATGTTTAAAACTAAAGATTACTGTTGTTGTTGTTGTTGTTGTTGTTGTTGTAGTTAAGCACTTTTGAGTCAAATACAACTCACAGCAACCCAATGAACAATATATCTGAACCCTGTCCTATCCCTGTGTCATCCTTATAATCTCTGACACTCTTTAAGGTCATTGCTACAGTCACTGTGTAAATCCCCCTGGTTGAGGGTCTATCTTCTCCTTTACTGTCCCTCTAGCTTCCCAAGCATGATGTCCCTCTCCAAGGAATAACCTCTCTTAGCAACAAGACCAAAGTATGTGAGACGAAGCTTCATCACCTTTGCCTCCAAGGAGCACTCAGGCTGCACCTTCTCCAAGTTTGTTCTTTAGTCAGTCCATAGGATATTTAGCACTCTTCTTCAACACCATAGCTCAAAGGCATCAATTCTTCTCTCATCCCTACTCACTGTCCAGCTCTCAGACAAACAGCAAGTGACTGAAAAGACTATTGTCTGAATCTGGCACACCTTAGTCTTCAAACTGACATCAGTACTCCTCAATAAATTTGGAAAGATCACTGACTATAGACTTTCCCAAGGCAATATATCTCCTGATCTCCTGACTGCTGGTACCAAGTGTACTGATTGCAGATCCAAGTTAAGATGAAGTCACTGACAGTGTCAATCCTCATTCCATCCATCATGATGTTGCCCATCAGTCAAGTGGCAAAAAGTGACAGAAATAAGACTGGAAAGCAAATGTTTGAAAGCAAAGATAGGATCATAGAAATCTATAATGGTTAAAAAAAAAAAACTATAATGGCTAGTAATTACTACATGCTACTTCTGAGGAAGTATGAAACATAAATCTAGTAAAACTATCAGTATTACAAAGGCAAAAGAGTATTATATAACTATTAATTAGGAAAAGACATGAGATATGATGTAAAAATATCTAAGATCTGTTGTCGTTGTGTTCCATCAAGTCAAAATAACCTATCACTGATCCTGAAGTGGGTTTTGAGAGGCAGTAAATCATGTGAGAAGACAATGCTCATCTTTCTTCCATAGAGCAGCTGGTGGATTTGAACCACGTACCTTTGTACTGGCACCACTAAGCCATCAGTACTCATTAAGTGAGGAAAAAAGGCTGCCAGTTATATGGTCCTTTTCTGTTGGGTTTTGAGCATACTGTAACCACCCACCATTCAGCAAAGAGTAGAAGTGTATGCAGTTTCCAAGGCTGTATATCTTTACTGAAGCTGACTGCCTTAAGTTCCTCCCATAGTGATGCTACTGGGTTTAAACCACTGACCTTTTGGTTAGCAGTCAAATATTTTTACCCATAGTACCTTTTAAGCATGTTGTTGTTGTTGTTTTTCTTATAGGCTGTCAAGTCACTGTGTCTCATAGCAACCCTATGCATAATAGCTCTGAACCTTGTCCTATACTGAGCACATTATGCATGTCTACAAACAGGAGGATTATGCACACCTATGATTCTTGCAGCTTTGTTCACAATAGCAAGGAGTTGGAAACAACCTAAGTGCCCATCAACAAACGAATGGATAGAGAAGCTGTGGTATATTCATACAATGGAACACTACACTGCATTGAAAAACAAGGAACTCATGCAATATTATTCAAAATGTGTGACCCTGGAGGACATTATGCTGAGTGAAGTATCTCAGTCACAAAAGGACAAATACTGCATGGTGCCACTGTTGTAAAACAGGACTGACCTCAGGGTTGGGAGGAGACAGAAGGATGGGTTTAATAATGTATGCTGCATTGAAACAGATGAGGGAGAAAACTGTTTAAAAGGGATATGTGATTTGGTATTTTTATCATGACGGGAGTCCAGAGCGAAGGCTGCATAGTGGAGTGGACCTGGGAGAGGGTTTGTAAAACAATGAAAGAATTTTTCTTTTACTTTTCCAAGAGGGGAGTGTACTGGGGGGGGGGGGGGGGTTGGGAGGCGAGAAAAGTGCAACAACGAATGAATGAAAACCCAAATTCTCTGTAAATTTTCATTGAAATTAATAATAAAAAAAAA